GCCCTAAAACCCCAAGCCCTTTTCGGGGTTAGGGTTTCGGGGCACCCTGAACCCCAAACCTTAAACCTTAAACCCTAAACCCTGAACCCTGAACCCTAAAACCTAAACCCCTAAACCCTGAACCCTAAACCCTATCAACCCTATAAACCCTATAAACCCTAAAAACCCTATAAACCCTAAACCTTAAAGGAGCCCTTTGACAAAGGGTCGCCTGCCAGATACGCCTCGAAGCGCCTTCGGGCCTCTGCCACGGCATCCGCCTCCTGGGCTTTCGAGTCGCTCCTTTTGGGGGCTTTATATGGCTTTTTTTTTGGTTTAGGGTTTAGGGTTTAGGGTTTTAGGGTTCAGGGTTCAGGGTTTAGGGCTTAGGGTTTAAGGTTTTGGCTATATAAGGCTCTACCTTAAAAAACAGAAACCCCTTTTTTTGTTAGGTTCTTATGATAACTTTGGGAGTTTTGGCTTTAAGGCTCTACCTTAACCTACCCAAATCCTTTTTTCTTGGTAGGTTCTTGCAAAACATGGGATTTGGAGGGGACCCTACAAAAAAGTGGGTTCTGGTAGGTTAAGGTGTATAGAATTCTTGTGGTGGTTTACAAGGCTCAGGGATTTAGGAAATAGGGTTGAGGGTGTAGGGTTCAGGACACTCTTCCTTTGTATTTGTGGGCTCTCTGTGTGTGTGTGTGTACCTGTGTTTCTTTGATTGATTGCTTGCTCGTTTGCTTGCGCTTCTTTGTTGTTTCGTCTGCGTAGTGGAGTTATTTTTGCATGTTCTTGTCTATCGCTCTTCCAGTTGCGCGTTGCACTGTACGATTTGTGCTAGTTGCCGGCACCAGACCACGCACTAACCCCTAAACCCTAAACCCTAAACCCTACACCCTAAACCCTAAACCCCTAAACCCTAAACGCTAAACCCCTAAACCCTAAACCCCAGAAAGCACCTGGGGTTTCGCTTGTTCCCCTAAACTTAAACCCTAAACCCCAGAAAGCACCTGGGGTTTCGCTTGTGGCGGGGGTAAATGAGCACTTACTTCAGGGAAGAAGCAGCCCAGGGCCGGCTGTAGACCCTAAGCAGAAGGAGGGTTTAGGGGTCTACTTAAAGGATCAAGGGACTTAGTAAGCATAGTTTAGGGTTTAGGGTTTAGGGGGTTTGGGGTTTAGGGTTTAGGGTTTAGGATTTAGGGTTTAGGGTTTAGGGTTTAGGGTTTAGGGTAGGTTATAAGTCCCTTACCTGGGGTTATAAGTAAATATAAGTATAGTTACCTTAACTATAGCCCTACTTACTAAGCCCCAAGATCCTTTAAGTCGCGCCAATAGGGTTTACAGGCTCACGGTTTGGAGTGCAAGGATGGGTAATATAGAAGCTGAAATACTAACCAATATTATTGTTAGGGTTCCTTATTGCAAATATACTATAAAGGATCCCAAAACCCTGTTCTAATTATTAAGGCCCCTACATTAGTCTGATGGGGTTTAAGCTTTGAGCTAAACACCCCACTCCCTCAGGTAGCCCCTACACAATTATGGCCTGACATACCACAAACCCCTGCTCTGATCATCAAGGCCCCATTAGGGGTTCAGGGGTTTAGGGTTCAGGGATTTAGGGTTTGGGGCTCCGCCATTTTTGAAATCCACCCTAATCCCTTAAACCTAGACCCATCCTGTAGATCTTGAGCTCCGAACCCCAAACCCCAACCTCTCAAAGGCCACCCCGACTGTCTGCCGCCGAGTTGCTGTGGAGTACTTGGCCTGCAGGCTGATCATCGTCTCCTGATATGGATCTTGAAGGTTACCCTAAACCCTAAACCCCATCTTCTATCAGGGTTCTTTCATAGGGGCTCTTGAGGGACATGCGGATCGGAGGGTGATAAGGTTTCTCAATAACTCACCGAACTCACGCTCAAATGCTGAATCTACACGGCAATCCATCGCACAGCAGTTAACAAAAGCCGCGGACCCTTTTGAAACCTGGCCAGAACCGATACATGTAGGTCCAGATTAGATTTGACCACAACGTGAAACTGGAGTACTTATGACCCAACGATATGTCCCCCCATTATAGTTACCGGCGTGTTGCTCAGGTTGTCTGTAGTAAATTACCCCGAACCTCCAAAATACCCTTGCAGCTCCCTCTCGGAGCTCATAATGTAGGAACCTGATTCAGAAACCCATGGCCCTATAGCCCCATACCCCTAAGCCCTAAACCCTA